TTGGTTTTATAAAGGTATGAATAGTAATAGATATCTTACAAAACTTCAGTGTATTACCAATTTGTGAATAGTTCTCCCATTACACGGAGGTCATTTAGTATTCTATATGTCTCATGGGGGGGATAACTGCTCGAGGGGTCAAGGACAGACCAGGGCAGACATCAGGTTCAGTAGTTTCCTTGGCTCAACAGGGAACTTTGCAGTGGCGTTTTAGACGAAGATAGGACAACTACATTGACTACTGTAGAGTACATGACTTATTGCTTTCCTTTTTAATAATTGTGTACAATATTTATGGAATGAATGTTGCTTATGGCCCAATATTCCAGGTTTATCTGAGCCCAGCAGATCAGTGCTTCATACACTGCTAGTAAAATTACTGTAACACTTGTCAACAAACTTCTGTACAGATCAGCCAAACACAGAGAATGTGCACATCAACAAACTGAACAGATCAGCCACACACTGGAATGTCATTGTGAAAACACTCTGTACAATGGGAAAACAATTGCTGGGTGGTGGCACCACCCAGCATCTGGAAGCAGGGTGATCATCAGTTGCCAGGCAGTGTTGAAACTCTCCCCCAAATGGAAGGACAAAACCTACATCCTTTCCATTACATGCTCCTCTCCAGGTTCCTCATCTCAAAGATCATGCATACAGTAAGCAGGTTATTGATTTCTGTCACCCTTCCCTTCCAGAAACAACTCTCTGTTATCATATTGTGATCTAATTCTGTAGATTAGATGGTCATTCATATGCTCCTGTGACAATGTCCTAAAGGTCCATGACCTGAAACTACTCAACAAACATAAGATAAGATTCTATAAAACGTTTGAGGCTTTTAGATGATCACACTGCAGACTAACCAGTCTCTGCACCATCAGCAGAATCAGATGAAGGTTAGATAAGTCATCATGAAAAACATACATAACATCCAACCCAAAATAACATACTTTTTCTATACCAGGAACAGCATTTCCTCCTTTACACATACTACCATTTCTATAGAACATTTTAAACACAGAATGTCCTCCGAGGACCTACCACATAAAAACTGGACTCTCAACCCATTATCATGTGAAATTGTTGTTTGGTAACAATGTAAGTTGGCCTTACAGTCAATTCCCAGCTGGGGCTTACATCAACCAACTTGCATCAGATTACTCTTCACTTACAAAGAGTTACAACATTATGTCGAACCTGTTGAGTTCAGCATTGTGCCTAATGTCATAAAATCTTAAACAAAAACAAAAAGAAAAATATAGTAAAAAAAATAAACTGAACAAAATACAAAAAATATTCTGGCTGAGTTTTGCAATCCTTTTAGCAAGTTCTACATAATATCAAATAAAGGCACACTAAGAATAAGCTTCGTGTCCGTGGAGCATAGAACTCAGTGTGACCAGATGACACTTTACCAACAGGACCAACTCATCAACCTTGTCGAATCAGTGGGTGAACATTTAATGGCATGGTCAGCAATATTCCAGCTTTATAACAGTGGCCTGTGTAAATTTCAAGATGAAGCAAACCAATGAGTGAAAGCATGAGGAACAATCTGTGCCATATGACACACAATCAGCCACAGGGCCTGGCCTCCCCGTTAGATGTTGTAGTCTTTCTGATGGCTTTGTTTGTTGTTTAACGCCGCACTCAGCAATTTTCCAGCTATATGGTGGCAGTCTGTAAATCATCAAGTCTGAACCAGATAATCCAGTGATTGACATCATCAGCATCAATCCATGCAGTTGGGATACCATGACATCAACCCAGTCAGCGAGCCTGACCACCTGATCCTGTTAGTCGCCTCTTACGACAAGCATGGGTTGCTGAAGATCAATTCTAACCCAGATCTTCACAGCTGGAACAGCAATGGGGTGTTTTATCTACATTTGGTATGTATGGGACCTGTTCAATTCTACTTTTAAAAGAATTTGTCAGCAACCATTAACACACAGAAAAACATAGACAATAGAATGACAGTTCAGCGCAATAGTGCCAAGCAAGTCCTGTCCTTTCTATTATCAGCCAATCAGCTCCGTAAATGAGTGTGGCCTAAATTAAATACAAATGGTTTGCAAATCATTTGTCACAGAGTCTCCTGCAATTCATTTACTAGGTAATAAGAATTAGGAGAGAAAACTTCCTTATATGTGGTCTTTTTACAAGAGCTGTAACAAAAGCTTTCTGAACTGTTTCACTTAACGTCAGTGTTATGGGACATGAGCTGTTCTCGTCAGCCATGCACTAACCTAATGCAGTGGATGAAGCAGAGATGGCGCGGTTGTTTCATGTGGATGTGTTACATAAAAATAATATTTATATCTTGCTAATGGCTAAACTTGACCCCCACCAACAATGTGGCAAGACAGACTATCATTCATATCCATCTCATATTGAGAACAGGTCATGTTGATTTGATTTTGTCCTCAAAATTCAATTTCCTCTGTGCCCTGAGATCAGCAATCTCTAATCACAGATAGTGATGAGTCGACAGCAGGAATGGAAAGCCAACAATATATTAGTTAATAGATTTTCCTTTAAAAGATGGAGTAAGAAGGTCTTCATTGTTATATCTTTGAAACAATAGATGCATCTTCACATGAGCATTTGCCTGGACTAACCTTATGATGTATGCTGTTATATACAGAGAGGTGTGAACACATAGCATCTCTACAGATATAATGGCATGGGTCTGTAATAGCAAGGGATAGCAAGATGAAACTCTAACCATTAAATTTGGCCTAATGAAGAATCAACCTCAAGCCATCCCAATCAACTCACTGAGAGACCAAAATATGAAGCATGCAACTTTGTGGACAAGTCTTATACAGGGGGTGATGTTTAGATATAGTTTCTGTAGATCACTATCAGAATGATATCAGTGTAAGAATCTACATCATAGTGTCATTCTTTGCTAGAAACAAGAAGTTGTTATCCACAAATTCAAAAGCTGCATTGGTTTATGGCAATACTGCTGCTGACTCTGGAACACATAACACTGACTGGCAGCAGGGCCTACAGTCAACACTGATGGTTACAATGTAACACCATGGCAGTCAGTATCTGACTCTGGAACACATAACACTGACTGGCAGCAGGGCCTACAGTCAACACTGATGGTAACAATGTAACACCATGGCAGTCAGTATCTGACTCTGGAACACATAACACTGACTGGCAGCAGGGCCCACTGTCAACACTTATGGTTACAATGTAACACCATGGCAGTCAGTAAATATCTGACTCTGGAACACATAACACTGACTGGCAGCAGGGCCCACTGTCAACACTGATGGTTACAATGTAACACCATGGCAGTCTATCTGACTGGCAGACTGGCAGCAGGGCCCTACTGTCAACACTGATGGTTACAATGTAACACCATGGCAGTCAGTATATCTGACTCTGGAACACATAACACTGACTGGCAGCAGGGCCCACTGTCAACACTGATGGGTAACTGTAAACATGAATTTGTTCCGTGTAGTAAATGTTCCGGTTCAGAATAAATGCTGTGAAATAGAGAATGGATGACACGAATAAAAATTCTCCACATACGGCAAATATTCCATCGAACAGGAACAAATACCGTAGGCCTAACCTATTCCAGTCATAATTGAATGCAAAATGGACTTGTCCAACTTGTCAACAATCAGGTATTTCTCTAGTCCGAAATACACGTGAATCATGTTAGATCTAGGTGAAAATCAAATTAACAAGCATCCATTTGCCACAGACTGCAGGTGCAACAGACCGATTATGGAGGCAGAGGAATACACTGCTCTAGTAGAGTATATTTGTGAAAACAAATACAAGGAAAATGCCATGTATCAAGTTAGCTCTATGGAAGGTGGTTTTATCAACACATACAAACAAATGAATATCAAGAAATATCATGAGCCAGCAGCAACATGTAGTCCTCAAAATGACAAGAATTTGAACAGTGAGGTTGTGCTAGTTGAAAATTGCTCACAGGAAGAGATTGAAATGGTTGATGTTGCAGAAACTATTGAAGGTGGGCAGATGGATGAAAACTGCAATGTGGTTGAAACCTCTTTTACACTACATTCCACAGACGTAAACGAAAGTGAACTCTTTTTAACACGAGATTCATTGAGAATCATCATTCTGGGGAATCTATTTCAATAATGACCATATAAAATAGCAGACCAAGAAGAAAGTGTCGTGATAAAAAGAGACAGACTAGCATTTATGAGTATATTCATTAAGGTTAAGTACACATGTATGTATTAACAAACGATGAAACCAATGCCCACAATAAAGACAAATGATGCCATATGGAACAAATACCGTAGGAAAAATCCTTTCTTCTTTTCCATTCCTCCCCCCTCCCAAAAAAACACGCCCCAAAAACACGCCCCAATTTTTAAGACCACCCCAACAAACAAAACCCTCTTTTAGACACTTTAGGATGTGTGTGAAAGTTCCTATTTATCCGGAATAAATTCTGTGTGTGCGGAACGAAATAATTGTGCCGCATGCACTATTACAGGAACAAATATTTTACTATGGAGGAACCAAATCTTTTTTACATTACAATATAACACCATGGCAGTCAGTGGCAGACACAGCATCAGCAGCTCCTGTGCAGTAAGTTTGCATCTCTTATTCGCCCTGATTGTGATTCTTGGGTAGGTCACACAATACCAATGTTTGAGGTTTTAATCTAAGAACTGCCCCGCTTCAGGATCTTCTCCATCACGACAGCCTATGACATAACCCTACAACATAACTGATCTACCTCCTTGAAACCCAAGTCTGACTCTTCTGAACCTGTAACTTGTTTAGTAAAGCCGTCATCAACTGTAAAACCAGTCTGCCACATAATCCTCCTGATGGTGTAAGTTAAAACTGATGTGACATGGAGACGTTGGGTATCACATTGATTCGGCAAGGTTTTGAAACCTGACAAGTGTAACACTGTAGTGGTGAAATATCAAACATGAAATGAAGATGTGTGTGTGTGCACTCACCACATGTTGTAAAGGGCAGCTGCCACTGAGATGACGAAGATGGTGCCGACTGCGATCACAGCATACATCCATATATTACTGGCACCATCCGCTGAGAACACAATAACACAAACATTTGGATTTTGTGTCAAGTAACATGTATACCCTGGTGTCACATAGTATTACCTAGCAACGTTATATTCTTCATGAGACATGCCCTGTAAATGTCAACTTTGTTTGGGAACAAACAAACTAAACATTATATTTCTAAGACAAAAACAACAATCTTTGTAACATACTATTCTGTTTTTACCCACAAGAGTATGAAAGTCTCACAGTCTCCAGAAGACAAACTGAAAATAGTTTGGGCACAAATGTTTATTTTTTAACTTAAGTTAGTTTCTGAAAAATACATATGACTAAAAGAAGTACTAATCTTACACAACAAGTTTTCAAACTAAACATTTAAAGTTTATACATATATACACAAGAAATGAAGCCTGTGGTGATTTTGGAGCCTACCTGGCAGAGTGACGGAAGTGGTGAGTATCGTTGTGGTTTGATTCTTGTCCATTACGCAGAGTCGAATAGTGCCATCAGGGTGGTAGAGTTCCTCCAATTCGCCCCGACAACGGCAGAGGTTAGTATTAATACACTCCGACTTATCTGCTAGGCATGGTGGTTGGCATTTGAGTGTTTGTGGCGGTTTTATCTTTTCATCACATGCACCTGAAAAAATCAATACCAAAATCAAAATGTGCAACAGCTTATATTTGTGCCTGTTTGTGTGGATGCATGTGTGCAGTGATGGACTCAGTGTGAAGAATTCACAAATTATCCCGATGTTGTGCACTTGTCCAGTGAAACCTGCCAACTGTTTGGGCAAGTCTTCCCTTGTTACTCCCAGTGAATGTTAGTCTAGGATAAGGGAGCACACTGTTCAGGGGTTTCCTTCATTTCTACAATAACAGGGTCAACATCTTCAGATGGTAAAAACTTGTTTCTTGAAGAGGGGAAGCAGGTGACTTTATGGACTTCTATTGGGGACTGACAATTTCTTTGGGGGCCTGGTGGTTTAAGGTCTGGGACTATTTCGGGGACTGACAATTTCAAGGGGGCCTGGGAGTTTAAGATCTGTGGCTGTATTGGGGACTGACAATTTCTTGGGGGCCTGGTGGTTTAAGGTCTGGGACTTTACTGAAAAAAATATATATATTGTTGCAGAAGATGCTTGAAAAATAACATTCTCCTTCAGATGGTTGAAAAGGAATAAATGATCTGCCACAAAATGCATTAATGCAAGGTGTTCCTGTGGAAAACATACAAAGGTGAAATGTTTTATTCAAGAATATTTTACTTTGCAGTTGTAGCTTAAAAAAAGATGTATTTACCTAAAATCCAAGGCCCTCTTAGAATATCAATCAGTCGTTCAAATACAAAACTTCTAAATGGCATTGTGTATTCAAAACTTGTACTGTGGCCAGAAGTTTGCAAATATGCAGAATTCCTGCATTGAGGATGGTTGAGCTGTAAACCCATGTCAGCAAATATCACTGCAATAAGACTGCTCATTGTTATCTATTCCTGTCTTTCACTCACAGACAAGACACCTATGACAATACTGTCTATTATGTATTAATGCCAATACTTTTCTTTCAACATAAGCCCAAATAATGAAGCAAATATTTGTTCCCATAAATTGCCATTTGTCTGGAGTATACTTTTGTTCAAGAACTATTTTAAGAACCAGGGTATAAAACTGAATTTCAGCAACTATTTATTATGATCGATGTATATTGGTGCCTCAGGCAAGTGTAGTGATACATACTGACTCAAGCCCATGTGTCACATTTGGGCCTTGGGATATTGACAATATACACAGAAATTAAGAAAAACAGCCTTCAACAAACAAAATACAATCAGATGGATATCCTCTGCACACCCTGCACTCATGACAGCATGACAGTACCATTTGTATATGTGGTTATTAATTTCTAAAAGGAATTGAACTGTTGAACATGGTTATCATGTGATAAAACAAATATTGCTTGTTTATTGGGACAATATCTGCTATATTGACATCTGCCTTCCATTGTATTCTTAATCACCTTTGTTTGATAGTGTAACTGTTTGGTCCACTGAATCTGGTATTGGCATTAAAGAAAGTCAGCATTGGAATATGATTTCGTCAATGGTGAGATTGTAAAGCAAACATATGTTGTACCAAATTTCAAAGGCAATAAAAGTTTCATGATAAATGGCTTATGGGCATGTTCGCAGCTGGAGGTCAAACATGACGGGTTCAAGGAGAGGATTGTCAGTCGATAGTCACAGTGTACTGAGTGAACCATGAAACAAATCTTCAGGTATTTAAGACAACACTTTGTGGAGCTTGAAAACACATGCTGAATACAGTCCACCAGAATATCACTGTTTGACACTGACAGGATTCCTTTGTGTGTCTCCCTGACATGTCAGACAATAGCTCCTTAAGACACAAACTAACTTATCTTATTTATCATATTTTCATCTTATGTTACACATTATGTAGTAATGATAACTGACTTGAAAAGGCACATGTTTTCAATATGTGACTATCAACAACCAAAAAGGTCCTTGGATGACAACAGATTAGGGTATTCTTTTGTGTCTTTTGGGGATAGATGCCCCTGGTTCAGTGCCTGTAGTTGGCCTATCTGCTCATCCTGTGTACCGACATCCGAGCAGTTACAATGCTTCATCACCCATGTTTGTTGTCTGGACCAGGATGCTGCTGGGCGGCCATTAAGGTCTACATGTTGTTATTCAGTGGCAAGCAGCTTCACTTGAGGAAGGTCTCCAGCAGACAGTTTGGTCCTACATGTCTGGGTATGTTTGGTTTGCTCAAACAATGTTATTCTGTAATGGTGGAGGGCATGAATGTTCGATCAACTCTCAGGGAAGTGTGTGTAGTGTATTGCCCCACTGGGAGCTCAGAATGCATTTCAAATTGATTTTGTGTCTGGACTGAAATGTGTGTCAGTCAAGTACTGTGGTAACTGATGGAAAATTAGTGCATGGAGAGTTGTCGAAACATTGGTCTAAGTTTGATTTGGCAACTAACGCTGTGAACTCTGTCGCCCAAAATGACTTTGAGAAACTTTACTGACAGGAAATTAATTATTTATCAAATTGATGATCACTTTCCCGAGCCTTGGCCTACAAATATTGTGGTCAGATATTGACTTTGTGACACAGAACGGTGGAACTTGGGTTTCAGGGACTATTTACACTCAACACATTAAACTTGTTTCAAGAGGAAGGTTAGCAAAGATTAATTAACTAATCTGCTCTATGATCTAGTTGATATTTTAAAACCACAACACAGTTTAATTTCTGAAAACTAGGAACTCATTCCGTAAAAATGCAGATGAGCCAAAAATGTTAGAACTCTCTAATAGTCAGCACACAATGTATGTATATATTAGATTTATATATTATATTTTATTTTCCCGAAGCACTTTATGAATTTAGTCTCACAATTGAATAATGTTTACTCTCTGGGGATTGACTTTATCACAGTGAGAACATGCATGGGTGACATGTTCATGAGTGACACTGTGGTAAGTGTACACAAAGAACTTAGTTAAGCTCCCCCTGACATATCTCATGATTGAATGAGCCTCGATCTTAACCCTCAGGATTATATCTGGGACATGATTGGTCATGGTGTGCAACAAAGGGATCCTCCTATACAGAGCCTGGCCTAACTGGAAGCTGCTTTACACGAGGAATGGCATGGACTGCCCCTTCAGAGGATCAGGCTGACAGGGGGTATGAGGAGGAGAGTGCTGGCTGTCATACAGTCACATGGAGGTTGCTCTCTGTTTTGACTTTGAATCGTGTAAGACATGCAAAATGACATTTTGAATGTTCACATTCACCAATAAATTCAACATTTAACATTCCAGGGCCATACTTGTACAGTCATGGTTTTGTATGAAAATCAGTGATATTTTCAAAATGAGCAATTATCATAATAAAATATACATGGATTCCAATCATTTTGTAATTTTTTATGAGTCAAAGGATCATACGGGTCAGAAAAACTCATGTTTTTCCATCCTGGTCACCAAGAGAGGTTTTAAGTATGTGTTCAAAACCTGTCATTGCCAAAATACAGGGGGTGCTTAATTAAGTTCTTTGTATATTTAACCCATAGATGACCTCCTCATATTTGTTTCATCGATGAACTGTCCTATTGGATTTTACTGAAGGACAAATTGTATTGATGTCTGTCAGCTGTTGGAATACAGCTGTTGTCAATTTGCACTAACAGATTTTGCTCAAAATTTAATCAAGTATTGCAAGCCAGATTTTGGGTGTGCCATCTCACTTCTGTAATATACACAATTCCACACAATATTCTTCAAATTAAAAATCTATCCGGCTTTAATATTTCATAAACAATCTCACTTTGTGAACAATTCATACCAGATTTTCAACGGCTGCCAGATGAGTGAGTGAGTGAGTGATGGAGTGAATGAGTGAGTGAGTGAGTGAGTGAGTGAGTGAATAAACATCCCTCTCTTCACTAATGTACCCAACAGAAAGGATGCATGAAAATACATATTAAGAAATGATGACAGTAACATTTAATTGTAATACCTACGTCTCTTAGCTCCTTGTGATAATTTTTGTTTAAAAATCCTCCTCAAGTGATTGGGCAAGTCTAGATTGCCTTGATATTAATTAATTCAACTTATTTTTTCTAGTTTAACTGACTACCACCAAAACTATGGTTTTGGAAACAAATCTATATGTGAACTAATGGCGGAGAGAGGTGAAGGAGCCCCGCTAGATCGGGACCCGGCCTCCACCTGCAGCACTAGCTGGGACCAGGACAATGGGAGTACACAGAAATATAAAAAAATATGTTAATAGTCATTAAAAGGCTTCATCTGTGGTATGAAATTCATTTGGAACAGAAAAAGCAAGCCAGAAAAAGGTTTTATCAATGTGTCAAATATAAAGCTGAATATACTATTGTAACTGAGGGAAATGAGTCATTCTGACGGACCAGTGGTCTATACACACCTGCACTGTATATTGCCGGACAAACACAGGCATTCATAGGCTTCATGGGCCATTGCTAACTCAGAACCAATACCACACAATGACAGGTAAAAGTAGCAACAGAGCAAACAATACCATAAGTTTAATCACCAGGTAGATACAAGAAGAATATTTTGTCATTAGTGTAGGTTATTGCTAAAAAATGTCATATTATTCAATTTGATAATGGGTATGTTCAACAATTCTTTGAACAAAACCGACGCCCTACTAACATGCTGAATAACGGAACCTACATTAGGCAGGTGACTAACAGTCTCTTTATGGATTACCATCAAACTTGGTTATACTTAAACACTGACCGGGAGATGCATCAGGTTGTCATGACAGGTCTGATAACAACATTAATGAAATATGTGGGTATAACATGTTAACACATGACAAGGACATTCAGTTTATTGTCACACAGGTAGGGAGTGGGGACATGTTGCTTCAAGCCACATCAATATGTGCGATCATACACAGGTAGGGAGTGGGGACATGTTGCTTCAAGCCACATCAATATGTGCGATCATACACAGGTAGGGAGTGGGGACATGTTGCTTCAAGCCACATCAATATGTGCGATCATACACAGGTAGGGAGTGGGGACATGTTGCTTCAAGCCACATCAATAT